CCGCCAAAATACGGGCCTAGGGGAGGTCGGCCCGCCCCGCCCCGCCTTAAGCCCGCAGGCCTTGGCGGGGGCCCACCAAATCTTAAAAATTTTAATATTAAATAAAAATTATATTAATGTAAAAAATATAATAAGTGTATATTAAAATAATTTGGATAGTTTAAACATATGTTAATGCATTTTTAATTTTTTTAAATACAAAAATAATTAACAAATAATCAAATACATAATGTGTTAATCTATAAATCAATAACGAATCTTTTATACTATGTAATAATTTTTTTAAACTTGATTTTATATATATATATATATATATATATATATATATATATTAATTAAATTTTTTTTTGGTTACAGTGAACTGTAACCAAAACAAAATGAGTATATGAATATATTTTGTTTTGGTTACAGTTCACTGTAACCAAAAACTCAATTACTATATTTTATATATATATATATATATATATATATATATATATATTATAGTATTTATATATTATAATAATTTTATTATTAAACAGTTGGCGGGCTTGGCGGGCCCCCGCCAAAGCCCGCGGGTTGGACGGGTCGGGTAAAAAAGCCCGCCAAAATATGGGTTGAGAATATCAAAGCCCGCCCCGCCCTTTTCGCGGGGCGGGGCGGGCTTACCCGGCGGGCTAAGTCCGTTTTGACGGCTCTACTCTTAGTTAACAAATTAATAGGATTTCATAAAACCTTTATTTAAATGAACTCTCTCTCTCATATGCCCTGAGGTACAGACATATGTATAAATATATGTTGGTATCTCCCTTCTATTAGTTCATTGTTCTCCGTTGGTAATTTCAGATGCTTTAATAACCATAATGAAAGAAGAAGGGTGGAGGGCACTTTACAAGGGCCTTGTGCCAGGTCTCTTTCTGGTTAGAAATTTCTTTCTTTTGCTATTTGTTGTTTATTCATTGCCATAGATATGCCCCTATGTTCTTCACATTTGCTTTAAGTTTTGACCTACTTTTACATTAGTGTTTATGAGAAAGCTAAAAGTTATGGTTGAAATTATTACAGATTTTGTGTGAACAGTCTAGAACATAAATGTAGATATATCCTCTTCATTCACAAACCTTTCTGGTTTGCTTCAGCAGGTAACCCATGGTGCTATTCAGTTCACTGCATATGAGGAACTTCGTAAGGTTGTGGTAAACTGGAGGTCTGATGAAAATGAAAGAACATCTGGCACTGTTGACAACTTGGTGTGTCTGAAAAGTTATCCCTGTTTGTTTCTTTGGATGTAGAATTGCTACTATATGCATATCTTTTATTCCTATTAATATGCATTAGTAAGGGAAAATCTTTGATTGGCTAAATATCATTTCTTTGACTAGCTTATGAAATTGGATGTTTTGTCATGGAAAACAACATCGGTGTTTAGTTTTGCCCTTTCTTTCTGAGATTTAGAATAGGTTGTCTGCCTATAAATGTCTATGAGAAACATAAGCTCTAATCTATGGTTCTGTTGTATTTTTCTGTATAGGATTCCTTTGATTATGCAATATTAGGAGCTTCTTCTAAACTAGCTGCCATTCTTTTGACATACCCATTTCAGGTATGTATTGGTAAAAACCTAGTTTTGTAATTATAACCTTTGCCTTTTAGTCCCTTCTGTTTTAAATGTAATATATTACTTTTTAAATATTGTCTATTGATTGACCACTTTCTATTTCCATATTTTGCAATAAATGTGGTTGGGTGGCACATTTTAAGGTCATACGAGCTCGTCTGCAGGTACACTACTTCTTTTGGTTGAGACTAGCAAAATATTACATAGTTATGCTACCCTTTCTCTAGGTCTTCTAGTCCATCTTTTTCTTTAGTAGCTAAACCGCTGTACCTCTGCAGCAACGACCAAGTACTGCCGGAATACCAAGATATGTAGATAGCTGGCATGTTGTTAAGGAATCGGCAAGGTGAGGAAGATTTAAAGACTTTAAAGTTTTATGTGCTATCACCCTTGAATTATTATCATCAGCATTAAACTCTATATTCTGCTTCGTAGTTAAATATCTTGCAAATAATCATCAGCTCCGGTATGTGCAAATTGAACTAGCGCAGTGTTAACAATGGCCTTGAAGGTCTTCATAGTAGCAGGGAATCACTATTTACAATTTTGCAGATCCCATAGTGCAAAATGCAAACTTTTATCAAATGAGTAACAGAGTAGTGCTAGCTTGTCATTCTGTACTAGGATGTTTCATCAGGCTATGTTATAGCTTCTGAAAGTTTCTTCTTGTGACAAAATAGTGAATCAGCATTTTTGCATTATCACCCTTGAATTATTATCATCAGCATTAAACTCTATATTCTGCTTCGTAGTTAAATATCTTGCAAATAATCATCAGCTCCGGTATGTGCGAATTGAACTAGCGCAGTGTTAACAATGGCCTTGAAGGTCTTCATAGTAGCAGCGAATCACTATTTACAATTTTGCAGATCCCATAGTGCAAAATGCAAACTTTTATCAAATGAGTAACAGACTAGTGCTAGCTTGTCATTCTGTACTAGGATGTTTCATCAGGCTATGTTATAGCTTCTGAAAGTTTCTTCTTGTGACAAAATAGTGAATTTTTTGTTTGGATGACAGGTTTGAGGGGGTACGAGGTTTCTACCGGGGTATCACAGCAAACCTGCTGAAAAATGTACCTGCTGCTTCAGTGACCTTCATAGTTTATGAAAATGTTCTGAATATGCTGAAATTAGCAAGGAGAGATTAGATAATTAACCTTATTCTCCTGGTATTCTTCTGACCATTTTTTTTAGCGTTAGGGTTGTATACTTTGCACGGCTGGAACTCTACGGGAAAATTATAGATGCCTTGAGGAAATAATGTAAACCTTAACTTTGGAATTTTGTTATCGGAAATGTTTTTTCTTCTCTCGTCTTCCATTCCTATAATCCAATGAGATAATGTCACTTTAAGATGGGAAGATTGGAGGGGAGATATAGCCCTGTTTGGTAAAATAATTAGCTTATCAATCAGGCTTGTTTGATCATTATTAGTTGTTTGACTTGGTTAAATAATCAATATGAATTTTAATTAGTTAAGTTTTTGGTAACAGTTTATTGATCCAAAACACTAAAATTTAAAAAAATGTTTATCGATCAGTTTTTTGATAAAGTCATTTTGTATGAATTAGTTATGAGTTAATAGTTAATTTACCAAATATTTTTTTTACAATCAGCTAATGCTATCAACTAGTCAAATATACTAATCCAATTAGCTATCAACTAGTCAAATCTACTAATTTTTTTTTAAAGGCCACCCATAAAGGTGATTATATTAGAGATAGGCTGCAATATAGTCTGGTGGGATTGAATCCCAATACATCGAATAAGTCTGAGTAAAAGCATGTGACGCTAAAGAATGCGCCATAAGATTTTCTAATCTAGGAATGAAAACAACAGAGCATAAATTAAAGGTTGACATAATAGTCCTGCATCCATCAATAATATAGCCAATATATGATCGCATCCGTGTGGCTTGTGATGTTAAATGGTGTTGTAAATTGCGGCAATCAGTATGTAGTTGTACTGAGAGTATTCCTTTGTCCTTCAACCATGATAGTGCCTCTTTACATGCTAACGCCTCTGCCATTAACGGGGATAGACAATCTGGTAGCTGCATATTGAAACATGCCATAAATTCTCCTTCGTTTGAGAGCACTATAGCTCCCGCCGTTGCCCTTCCATCCGCATGATGACCGGCGTCGACAAAAACCTTCGGCAGCCCGCCTTGATCGGCAACAGTAGCAACAGTGGGTGTGGCCGCCGGCATTCCTCCGTGAATCGCGGACCATGCCTGCCACGCAGCTGATGCAGCACTCAAAACCCGCTTGGGCAATGGTAAAACATGTTCCCATACTGCTTGGTTCCTCGCCCGCCATATATAATAGAGAATCGCACCTGCCATAACAAATTGATTTGGGGTGAGTATTTTCATAATCTCAAGAAACCATGTCTCAAAGGAATCAGCCATAAGTCCATAACATGCATAATAGGTAATGCAGATTCTCGCCACACTGCCTGCGAGAAGACACAAAATTCTAGAGCATGCATTGTACACTCAGGATAATTAGTGCACATAGAACACATTGGATCAACTTCCACTCTTTTCGTAATTAGATTAGTTGTGGTGGGGAGAATATCACTTAAAGCTTTCCACAAAAATAATTTCCATCGGGGCGGCACTTTCATCTTCCACATACGTAGCCAATCACAAAAAACCCCATCCCTGTGCTCATAATTTCCAACAACAAGCCTGTATCCCCCTTTTACCGTGTAATTTCCATTGGGGTCTCCCTGCTAATACCACATATCTGGGTAATCCGGGCATATAGGTATCCGGTTTATTCGCCTCGCATCATCATCCGTAAACAAGTCCCTGAGTATATGAGGATCCCATGTTCCAGTGTCCTGGTCAATCAAACCCACCACTTTTGAACCAGCCAATTCCTGGGGCATATTAGTTTGTACGGTTGGATCTGGGTCATCAGGTAATCATGGATGACCCCATATTAAAGTTATTTTTCCATCCCCAATCCTCTTCCTAATTTAATTAGCTAAAATAGTTATTTACCAAACACATTCGTTTGTAAACATATTCGGTGATGAGAAATTTACAAATATGTAAAGAATATTTCAAAAATGGCTGTTATTTTTGTAAATTTAATGTAGTATATTTTCATAATAACTACTACTATTGATTATGTTATACTCTAGTATGTGTTCATAACTATTTTCTCAATCTACTAGTCTATACAAAAAGGTTCAAACTTACAATCTGTCATTAGATCACAAAGTTCTTGGCGAATTTCGGAATAAATATAGATAAAATTTTAATACTGCGTATTTTATTTTGTATATAAAAAAAAATTAAATTTACCATAATTTAAAATATTGAATCCAAAAAGTAAAATTTACCCGGTCCAATTTTCCAAATAACTACAGAAGCCCAAATAAGTAACTTCGGGCCCTTGAACAAAGCCACATCCACAAACCGATATCTCCACACATACTCCGGCGGTGCCGGGAAGCCCGAAACCTCCTCTCTATCTCTAATGGCGTCTTCTCTCTCGCTAATACTGAGCCAGCCGCACTGCAGCCTGCGCATCAGGCTGCCGAAACGATGCTCCTCATCCTTCAAGTTCAGGCTCTTTTTCTCCAAGCCCCTCCGTGCTCAATCCTCCGCCGTCTACTGGCTTTACCCGCCGCCGCCCGCAAGGAGCTCGGCGCTCTCTCTAGAATTCTCCAGAAGCTTCTCTCAATGTCACTCTCGGTCTTCTCTTCCTAACAGGGAGCAAATCCCGAGCCTCCACCACTTCATTCCCAAAGCCGCCCCCACCGCCGTCACTGATACTATCCATGCTTCCGATATTCAAGGGGAGTAAGTTGTCTCCTTTCTCACCTTCTTTTGTTATTTCAGAATACGAATTTTACTGTTACTTAGCTTCTATTTATAATGCATAATAATTTGGAAGCCATTGGGAAATCACGTTACTTCAGAAACTTAAGCTATTTCATTCTGATAGTATGTGTTCAGTATTAGCAGCATAATTCATTTCTTCTGCCAAATTTACTAACCTGTTATCCTAGTATTTGATCTTTGTCTTGAGAAATCAGCTCCTTGCAAGTGAGATTGTGAGAATAGATGTTAAAAGTAAATCATTATAGAAAGTACTGTTTGTAGTTCAAAGTTAGCAATAGATAGTTTGTGTTGAAAACTGAAGAGAGAACCACCCAAAACTATCATCAATATTTCCAAGTATAATGTTGTGAAAATTATGTTTTTGTTTGGCTTCCAAATTGGTGTGAATAGTTAAGAACTCTGTCTTTATTCTAAATAAGATTCCAATGCAATTACAACTCAAACTACCAATTTTTGTTTCCTTTCTCAGTCCTGAGACAACATCAGAAGCTCTTCCAAGAGGTCGGATATTCCATGAAACTTATGGCTGCCAAATGAATGTAAACGATATGGAGATAGTTTTATCTATAATGAAGAAAGCTGGATATGGTGAAGTTGTGGATATTCCAGAGAATGCGGAGATTATATTTATAAATACTTGTGCTATAAGGGACAATGCAGAGCAAAAGGTTTGGCAGAGGCTTAACTATTTTTGGTTTCTGAAGAGGCAGTGGAAGAGGAATGTTTCCATTGGAAGGTCACAGTCCTTGCATCCTCCAAAAATAGTTGTTCTGGGTTGTATGGCTGAGAGGTTGAAGGACAAAATATTAGATGCAGAAAAGATGGTTGATGTAGTTTGTGGACCTGATGCTTATAGGGATCTGCCTCGACTGTTAGAAGAGGTTGATTATGGTCAGAAGGGGATCAACACTCTCCTTTCACTTGAAGAAACTTATGCTGATATTACTCCTGTGCGCATTTCTAAAAATTCGATCAGTGCTTTTGTCTCTGTCATGAGAGGTTGCAATAATATGTGCTCATTTTGTATTGTACCTTTCACGAGAGGTAGAGAGCGATCTCGTCCTGTGGAATCAATTGTGAAAGAAGTTGGAGAGCTTTGGAAAGAAGGTGTAAAAGAGGTAACACTTCTTGGTCAAAATGTAAATAGCTATAATGACACATCTGGGATTGAAGAGGAGGTTGAACTGGGACCCAACTGGAAGCTTAGTGAAGGATTTTCCAGCACATGTAAAGTAAAATATGTTGGTTTACGTTTTGCTGATCTTCTGGATAGACTTGCAGTAGAGTTCCCTGAGATGCGGTTTAGATACACGTCTCCACACCCAAAAGATTTTCCAGATGAGTTACTGTATGTTATGCGAGATAGATACAATATCTGCAAGAGCATTCATTTGCCGGCACAATCGGGGAACAGCATAGTACTTGAAAGGATGCGACGGGGATATACCCGTGAAGCATACCTAGATCTTGTGCAAAAGATAAGGGATATTATTCCTGACATGGGCATAAGCAGTGATTTCATATGTGGTAAGATTTTTGCACAACATTGCTTTTCATATGTGGTAAGATTTTCACTTAAAACACAAGATATGTATGGTCTTCTTGGTGGAGGTGTTACATTGTCATAATTGCCCAAAGCTCTTCATGCATAGGATGTACCTTCATTGATCTCCTTGTGTGTCTTCATTCACCTCCATTTCCTTTTGAAACCCAGTGTAAGGCTCTGACAATTTCTAATTTTGCTTTTACTTTTACCTTCTTTGCACAGGGTTTTGTGGAGAGACAGAGGAGGAACACAGAGACACAGTTAGCCTCATAAAGGCGGTTGGCTATGACATGGCATATATGTTTGCCTACAGCATGAGGGAGAAAACACATGCCCATAGAAAATACGTGGACGATGTTCCTGATGATGTAAAGCAGAGAAGGCTCACAGAACTCATTGAAACTTTCCGGGAGAGTACAGGTCAGTGCTACGACTCCAAAGTTGGCACTGTCCAACTTGTGTTAGTTGAAGGCCCCAATAGAAGAGCTCCCGACACAGAGCTCATTGGCAAGAGCGATAGAGGCCACCGGGTTTCCTTCACTAACCTACCTATCCCAGACAACGTTGACAATAATGGGAAGCGGAATCCCAAAGTAGGCGATTATGTTGAAGTGGACATTACAAAATCCACGAGAGCATCGCTCTTTGGAAATGCACTTGCTATAACTAAGTTGAGCTCATTTTATAGCAGTTTGCATGAAGAAGCTGTTGCATGTGCAAACAGAAGTTAGTTATTCTTTATGTCCTTGTGCTACAATAATGCATTACTTACATATTACTACTTGTCTCATTGTTTGAGACATTTTGAGCTTTGCAAAGCTGATATAACAAAATTTTATCTTGTTAGCCGAACAATATTGATTGTATTATGCAATGTTGCAAAACACGTTAGGCGCCTAGGCGTCGATTTTTTATTTTTTATTTTTATTTTTAATTAAAAAAATTAAAAATTAAAAATTATCAAAATTCATTAATAAAACATAAGGTTCCATAGTTATTTCTTAAAAACTATTTACATAAGTGGTTGTAAAATTGTTCAAAAGATTGTTTAAATCATCTAAATACATAAAAAAACTAAAACTAAGAGCTAAAGAAGTATTTTTTTTTGAGAAATTAGTGGGCCAAATCGTCTTTGATCATTTATGGTGGGTAGAACTCGAAAAAATACACTATTTAAAAAAAAAATTGTTCAAAACGTACAATCGAGTCAAAAGTTGTGCTCCGACAAAGTTTTAAACCCAAAATTCTAAAAAAAAAAAATAAAAAAAATCGGCGATTTGGCTGGCTAGGCGGTCGCGAAGGATATCGATTCCGATCTTTCTTGCGGCGGTCGGGGGCCGCCTAGCACCTAATCGGTGCCTAGGCGTGCGATTTTTGCAACACTGTATTATGTATAAGATTGTAAAATTTTTGTATTATTTATTTTTAAGTACGTATGAATATATGAAAAAAGTTTTTGGCACGTCGACACGTGTAAGTGTGTAAGTGGATGATTTTTTATTGGATTTCCTCCGAAAGTTGGTCCACAGGCGACTGGTCAGAAAGCCCGCGTAGACGCCATTGTAGATGGGCGGAGGATTGGTTATATGGAATTGGGCGTGCATCATCTGCATCTCCAATTTCTTCATCCCGTAACGCCGCAGCACCAACCGCAGCCACCCACGACCAATCGCCGCCGACAAGTGCCACATCATGTTCGAGGCGCAGCTGTACCGGCCATGCCTATAAGAGATCTGACTCTTCGACGCATCAGATTCCATCATCCAAACCTATTCTGCAACAAAAGCGTTGTAGCCTTGAAGAACGCGATGGCGGACGAAGCGAAAAGCAAAATCACCGCAGATTCGGCAACCAATCATAAGAAAGAGGAGGCTGAGAAGAAACCGGAAAAGCCAATGGAATCCATTCCTCCGCCGCCAGAGAAGCCGTTGCCGGACGATTGCTGCGGCAGCGGATGCGTTAGGTGCGTTTGGGATCTATACTACGACGAGCTGGAGGAGTACAACAAGCTTTACAAGACCACTCCAGATTCTTAAACCTTCTTCAAGTATTTGTTATTTAGACAACTAATTTATTATTCTTGAAAACACATCTGTTTCCCAGCTTCTGGGCATTTCTCATAGGTTTCATTAGATTGTTGCGTAGTTTGATTTCTCTTCCTGAAAGAATATTATAATCTCTTTTTCAAGCTCCTGGGATTTAGTTGCAATTTGTATTCTATGCATTTCAATTTCAATTAACAACATGAATTGAATAAAAAATTACCTGCTCTAAGAAAGAACGAAATTTTTGTCTCTCAAAATCTATAAATTGACTGAAACTATCCGATCAACTTAGCTGAGTTAATGGTCATTAAAGATGGTGCATTTTTCTAATTTGTATTGAATATAAACCTTTGAGAATACTACAATTAAGGAAGCTGTCAAAGCAATCAGCACTTCCTATTGAAGCAATTTTGATTTGGTAAATATGTCCGATGAGATGACGTAAGCTATGAAGAAAGGCTGTACAACAGGCTGTCTCCTTGCAATCAGATGGCGGCTTCGTAAGTTTCCGGCCGCCAGAACGTCTTCTGGGCACTGAGCATCCCATCTTGGTTCTGAGAGAAGGTCATCCGAACCTCCCAATGCAGTGATTTCAGTAAGTCTTCTATTTCCCTAACAATGCCTGCCTCATCTTGAACTATCAGTTTACCTCCAGGTCGAACTATTCTGTCAACCTCCACTATCACCCCTCTAATGTCACACCTGCAGATAATAAACTTGATTTACAATCTGATACAATGATGATGTGGTTTTCAATTGTTTGTACCTACCCTACCTCTTTTTTAGCCTGGAGAAGAGGTGATCAGCGTGCAGGAGGTCATATGTTCTTGGATATGTACTGAAGGATTCACACCAGTCATGGTACATGCCGAAAAGGCCACGCTCATAAATGATGGGAAGTGTATCTGGGGAATCTACGTTCACCACATTCATCACCCACACTTTAAGGTCCTTTAGTGCTGCTGCAAACCTGTAAGTAGCCATTAATATTCTTTCAGTACATTGATTACCTGTTTGGCATCATCATTGTTACTGTTTAACGTGAGTGGAAATGTATCTCTAATGTAGCGTTTACCCTCCATAAACTGCTCTCATGTCCATGATGTTTCTCACATCATACCATCTGATGCCCAAACCACTCAAATATGTCTTTCTCACCACGTTTTTCCAGTGCTTATAATCAGATTCAAAGTCATCTGGTGCTGGCCGTCCATATATTCCCTTCTTAGCTCTGTCAAGCCAATATGGAGGGGTGTGAAGTCGGGCCGGCCATTCTTCAGGCCATTTTGATCCTCTCTCCTTTTCGTCACTTGGGACTCTATGCATGCATGGTTCCAAGGGCACATACCTGAAAAATGAAGTCAAGTATTAGAATTTTCTGCACCAAAACAATGACTTTTGTTGCAGTGTCCTAACTTGTTCATGGTGCAGTTTCAGATGCAATTAATACTTGTTTTTTCTTTTCATTGGGAGCTTACCATGCTGCACTAGGATCATCATCCTTATTACACATGGGAGGTTTCTTGCGTTTTCTTTGTTCATAGCAGCCGTTTGTGTCTGGTTTATGATAGATAGCAGCTCCGATGGAGTTCAATTTGTCTTTCTTGATGGTTACTAGCTCCCAACACATGGACACTGTTAGAGCAGTCATTTCTGGGAAGAAAGAGGTGACAGACCTGCATATATCAATCAATTTTGCTGGACAGAGAGTCAAGGAAAGGAAAGGAAAGATTGAAGTCCTCCTCCTCCTACCTCTCCATATCTGCACATCTTCTTCAAGCTTCTGGTACACGGGAGTTGCAGACCAGATAAAGTGGCCTCCTGGACGAAGCACTCGATTCAGTTCCAGAAGAAGATTCCCACCTTAATTTCAGATTCAACTAGTTAGCAAGCTGTCTTGTGTGGAGGGGGCTAAGACAAAGTCTAAAAGCACACAACAGAGAAACCTTCTATGTGCCAAGGGACTCTGCAGCGTGCGCAGTGTACAGCATCAAAGACTCCGCTAGGAAATGGGAGGCGCTGAGTTCCCATAACAGCAGATATTGCAGGTATTCCCCTTTCAAGTGCAAATTGAACTTGAGCCTCGTGTTCGTCTTTAGGTGCAAAGGACATTGTGATAACATCTCTCTCGAATATATAGCCTCCGAAGCTAGCAACTCCACATCCTACATCCAACACTACTCGAGTATGCTTTCCCCATGCAATACCAGGAACTGCCTACAACCAGCCATATGACAAAAGCAGAAGTAGCCTGTGGATGTTACTATATGGTAATCTTTTTTTCTTAACTTTTGTTACTTTTTCATTGTAGCAAAAGAAGTTTTGGATAAAAAACTGAAAGCATCTTAATTTTGCCTGTTAATATAGCAACTTTATCAATTGTTTTGGACTTCTAGTCGGGTTAAGAGATGGGTAAGCTTACTTTTTGGATAAAATCAATGTAATGCAATGCTCCATGGATAAACTGAGTTCCACCACCTGGAAAAGTAATGAATTCTCCGGAAACTTTAACCCAATTTTGGTGCCCCTTCACCTCTGCCAATAATGTGTGAGGCACATTGGGATACCATATCTGCACAAAGAAAAGATTGAATATCAATCCTACATATATATATATATCTATAATTGACAGTCACAGAATATGGTGCGTCATGCCTTATCCCTGCTTTGAGGCCATTGAATTGATTTCTTGTACCCTACTGGCATGGGCACAAGGCAGACAGGAGGATCTGTGGGGCAATGCCTTTCGCGATGCTCAAAATGCTGCCTGCCTCTTATCTTTGCTAATGCTTTCTCATTGTCCAAACAAGGTATGTAATCTGCACCTGCTGTTACATTGCACAGCTGCCATTGCCCCGTGATAGTGATTTCTTGATCAACTGCTCCTTCCTTCCTCTCTTTCTGGTTCACAGATTGATCAGCTTGTGTTGTCAACCAGGCCTTATTCGGATCCCTTGTCGTCACCCAGGCCTTATTCGGATCCCTGGTTGTCTGGATAATCTTATTCGGATCCGTGGTTGTCTGGGCAATCTCGTTTTGGGGTTGCTTTTGTTGTATGTGATCGTCTTCCTGTTGCTGATGATGCTCCAGCCGTTTCTGTTGATCTTCATCTGATATCAAATTCTTGTTCTCCTCTGAAATTTCTTGGATCTTGAGTTGTGAATCTTGAACCTTCGTCTCTTCATTGGCACCCTTGAGATTATCTTCATTGCCACCTTTCTGAGTATCACTGCTTTCTTCCCTTTTCTCCGCTGCAGAAACATCATCTTTGCTGCCTGCTAATTCTGCATTTTGTTTAACTGTTTCAATCTCTTTTTGTTGTTGAGTTATTATACTTTCCTCAGACACTTGAATGTCGGGTTCTTTCTGCTTCTCTTGCTCCTCCTTCCCATGCAGCAGCGATGATTCTTGATTCTTAACACTAGCACTTTCTTGATCCGCCGTTTCTTTTGCAGAAGAATCATCCTCAGTTGTTGTTGTAGTCTGGGAATCATTTGAAATGTCTGATGATGCGCCCTCTTCTGGGAGGTCCCCATGCAGGTCCTCAAAAGGCGTAGCAGTGGGTTTTATTGCAGCATCAGAAACGGTGGCCCTAGGGAGGTTGATGACGGTAGAGGAGGTGGCGGGTTTAGTGGTGGATTTAGGAGGAGCAACCGGAGTGGAGGCAAGCAACCAAACTGCCAGAACACACAATGCTACAAAGGCTACTGTTGTGACCACAGGGGTTGAGGTGCCTGATCTTCTGCTGCTACGTCCCTTTCCTAGGGGCATGGTTTTGATTTGTTTTCTCCTTATTCTTTTTTTCTTCTTCTTTTTTTTGATTCTATATCAACACTTAACACTTGATTTATATTGAACAGCAAAGAATGTTTCCAACTTGGACTTTATCAAGATCCACAACCCCAGGCCTAGGGAAGTAAGAGAATTATTATTATTATTATTATTTTTTGGCAATTTATATCCTGCACCAGGGTGCGCATTGCATTGTGCGCCCTGATGCAAAACAACGTCGTTTCAGTTTTTTTTTTTTTTTTTTTTTTTTTTTTTTAAATTTTCGCTACCCTGTGTTGGCGGTTAATTTTCTTTTAAAAAGAATTTATGTTCAAAAATGTACATAATTTTATACTAGAATACAGATAATTGTATACATGAATATACATAATTGTATAACAAAATACACATATTTTTTTTTTAAAGATAATACATATAATCTAACATAACACATAATATACATAAATTTTTAACATAATAAACATCAATTCTTAACATAATACACATAAATTTTCTGATTTGGATATACATAATTGTATAAAAAAGATGTACATGATTGTATAAAAAATGTACATAATTATATAAACAAATACACATAATTTATAAACAAATACACATAATCACGTCAACTCCCTACATAACTTACCAAAATGACGTCGTTTTGAGAGGCGTGGGGCGTATAATGCTATGCGTGTCTTGGTGCATTGTTATTATTTTGGGTTTAAATATTATTGTTGCAGGCATTTGAAAGATCAGAAGTCCAAACCAACAGTAGTAGAAGAGCCCAACTCTCTAATGGACTCTTACAGCATGTTTAGTGGGATTAGACTTTGTTCATCCTTCAGTTTAATATTTGATAGCGTAACTTCGATGGCAAATTATTATCTGGACCACAGTCCAAAATGATATTGTTGAATTTTATGAATTAGAATAATGTACTTTATGTGTTAAAATAATGTACTTTATATGTTAGAATAATGTACATTATGTGTTAGAATAATGAAACTTCTGAGATAAGATAATGTACTTTATGAGTTAGAATAATGTACATTATACATTATAAAAATATATATTGCAGTGGGTCGTGTAAAAAAAAAAAATTACGCGAAACGACGTCATTTTTGGACCGTGGTCCACACAGCTGTGTGGATCACGGTCCACGCAATAACTATGGAGGTTAAGGGTATGTTTTTATCCTACCTAACATTATGGAGAATAAGAGTTTCATATAATTGGTCAAGTATAAAGCGATCAGGAACTTGGTAAACTAAGGATGGTCGGACATCTCCAATCAATTTACCATGATAATAAGTAAGTAAAAGATGCAATATAATTTGGGAGACATGTGGATAGTTCTATTTATATTAATGATCAATAGCTAGTGCCATATAGCTCACCGGGCTAGTTTTGCAATGTGACAAGCATAGATTGGTCTAATTTGATTTATGTAACATAATGTGAACCTAATTGAAAAATTTTATAAATATTTCTTGTCGAGATACTACTTTAAAATAATCTCGTGGATTCGATCCATCAAACCTACTATTTGAATCATTGGACTAGTTTAACAACTCCATAAATTTATCAATTCTTTTTACGACATAAATAATTTGTTATTAGTGTAAAATTCGTTTTATATACATTATCATTCCTTTTGAATTCAAGTTACTTCACTTGACGAGGTCTCTGGATCTGTCAATGAAACTGCAAATATGAGGCACTAATTTGCGACCTGGTTCGATCAAGTCCGAGAATGATTCCATGAAATTAGGCAGCCTAATCCTCCTCTACTCTTCATGTGAGTGGTATGGTCAGTAGTGTATGTTTGCTGGCTCATAAACGTTAAAAGCACACATGTTTTGACCAATCCAAAAACATTGGTCACTCCAGAAATGTTCTGTTCTAATAACATCGTACAATCAACCTACGACCGGCCTTCTCTCATCTGAAACTCAATTTCCAGATCTGCCAAATCCAGTTAGATGATAGTTCTACTTCTAGTATATATGCACTGTCTACTGCACCAGTCAAGTTTGCATTTTTTAAGGTAAACCCAAAAGAAAAAAAAGTCAGTGCATGATAATATTAATTAATGTCCAATATCTCTTAATGCATACATACCATCATGTTACCTAAATTTTTAATCAATATAAGTTTGAACAAGATAAGAATATGGTGTCTTAAATAATCGTACTTTATAACATTATATTCTTAAAAAAAAAAAAAAAAAAAAAAAACAGGATTGACGGCTTACCACTACATAATTAATTAAAGCTAGTTGTAAATATAGGACTAAATACTTATTACTATGTCAAAATTTATACCTAGTAACAAATTTATAACTTCATTTCCTTATGTTTGAGTATAACAGTCAGCATAACATTTTGACGACGGGATATTTGGACTCTATCTAACAAAGTATAATAAGTTTAATGAGATATTACCCATGGAGGTGTAGGTGATATAGCGCGAGTCTCTTCCCTCTTAATCACTATCTTAAAACCCGCATGAACAAGATTAATCTTAGATTCTCAGTAGTCCGTATATAATTGCTAGTGACACTAAAAATAGTAACTATGGGATGAGTAGAGTATATTTATATAGTTTAGAAAACTATTTTGTCCACTAATTTACACTATTAATTTTTATTTATATAATACTGAGTAATTATAATTAAATTATTATAAAATGTATATCTTTGTTATAAAAAGTTTTAAGAATAAATAAGTAAATAAAACAAAATATTTGTACTTTTCTAAGTCGTTTTACACGTTTTCAGTTAAAACAAAACAATTAATTCATCATTTAACACAATTCATTATGTTAATTGTCAAACGCCCATATAACTCAAGACAGAAATTATTTAAAATTTTTAGAACAGTAATTTCTTTGAAAATTATCCCTATATTTTCTTTTTAAGAATGGTGGCAATGATATGGAGGCCCCTCAATATGGAAGCTAGGTGACAAAAAGATGTACTGTCCAACGGGTCAGTAATGAAGGATTTACTTGCGATATGGACGGCAACGGGGCACGGGCCACTTTGAATATTTTATTTTTATTTTTATCTTTTAAATAATGAAAGAAATTATAATCACTATTACAATGATGAGTACTATATAATATTTTGAATAAATTTTATTAGATAATTTAGATTTTTTAACTTCGTCAAATTATATCTTAAACTTTATAATTTGCCTCTATGTTAACGAGGAGATAAATTGAGTCTTTTTAGTGTTAGGGTCCATACTCGAGTGTATATTTTTACACAAAAAGTTCAGCCCCAACATCAGTCCAACTTTAAATTGTTTATGGTTGGATTTCCAATCTTTTATCTTATTACTAGAAGTAAGTCTAAAGTGTAATACTCTCAACCACTAGACCATTGTCGTGGTGCACGAATTATATAAAGTACGATTATTTAAGTCTAAAGTGTAATACTCTCAACCACTAGACCATTGTCGTGGTGCACGAATTATATAAAGTACGATTATTTAAGTCTAAAGTGTAACACTCTCAACCACTAGACCACTAGAACATTATATCCAGAGTTTCTTTAAAAAAAAAAAAAAAAAAAAAAAAAGAAAAAAAAAAAAAAAAAAAACTATAGACCATAGCTAGGCCGGTTCATTTGTCTGGGCCTATGTTGCTTACACTGCTCTCCAAAGTTGCAACAAACCTGCCTCTAATCATTTCACATGTTCTGCATTCCTCAGTAAAAGAAATGCCTTCAAATCAATTAAATATTGCTTCTATCTTTTTGGGCAATTAAGTAATGGGTTTGTGAAGATTATATACATAAAAGGAATAAGGGTCAAATAGGCCATCGAACTGCACACAATAAAACAATTAGGCCACTGAACTTTAAAAACCAACAATTAGGTCCCTGAACTAATCAAATTCAAACAATTCTTCCAATTTGAAGGTTTCCAACAGGTCAACAGGTCATCCTTTCAAATTAATTATTTTTTAAATTTTAAATTTTAAAAATTAATTATTTAAAAAAAAAAAAAAAAAAAAAAAAAAAAAAAACTAGTTCCTGCCGGAGACGACCGTCTCCGGCAGGATTCCAGTTTTTTTTTTTTTTTTTTTTTTTTTTTTAAATTTAAAAATAATTAATTTTTAATTTTTTTAAAAAAATTATTAATTTGGGAGATGACCTGTTGGAAACCTTCCAATGGAAAGAATTGTTTGAAATTGATTAGTTTAGGGACCTAATTGTTGGTTTTTTAGGTTCAGTGGCCTAATTGTTGTATTGTGTGCAGTTCGATGGCCTATTTGACCCTTATTCCTACATAAAATAAAATGGTTTGGAAAATCCCAGGTTGCTTATATAATGGCAAACATCACTTTGTTGTCATGAATGGAAGTGTGTGGAGGCTACCGCAAAACATTGGGACCAAACACTTCAACAAATTAAAGTATTCTTAGTTGGGATGATTAGATTGGTCCTTGGATCGGATATGATATGTAGATTATTACGTTTCGATCTGTTATTGCAGCGCACGCAAACTTGGATTCTGGGTTTGGTGTTTTTGGTACGGTTAATATATTATATATACATGAATCTAGGTTAGTTGTGTTGTGGACCGATGAGCAATGGGGAGAAAAGTGAAAAAGATGGAAATCTGATGTTTGGGGTTTTGGTGGTATTGGGTGCTAAGTATGATCTGATGGGGAGCAAGATTTGCACAATAATA